CCGGGAGACAAACAAGTACTGAGACTATGGACAAATAAGTACTGAAACTACCGAGACTGGACTAGACCACTGAGATTATTAAGACTAACTCTATGCATCTGATCTCCACCATATGGCGCTGAGAGAGTAAACAACTTCCACACAGCTGCCTCACCAATTCGACTAACAAGCTGCAGGAGCTGAACCTGCCCCTGATTGGAGGAGAGCAGTGTGGTCAGCGCGTGGGGAGAGAACGCCAGCAGAGTTGGGATTGGTGGAAGAGGACTATAAAGGAGGAGAGAGACAACATGCAGGAGGAACATCTGAGGAACCCCTGAGAGAGCCGGCCAGCGGAAGCGGGGGAAGCGGTGGGGGTGCCACCCCTCCGCGGAGGGGGGGGGCCGGCAGCTAACCCGGGAAGGGCCGGGGAAAGAGAACAGCACAGGGTCCGGTGTCGTTCCTCCGCGAGTGGGGGAGCAACATGCACCCACATGGGAGACCCAGATGATGCTTCTGGCTCCTGGACTCGAGCTGGCCCAGACTTCCTGGGGAGTGAATCGGCAGATGGAGGAGATTCTCTCTCTGTCTCTCCCTCCCTCCATAACTCTGCCTTTCAAATAAATAAATCAATCTTTTAAAAATGGAGACTATAAAACCAAAGGAATTATGTGTACTTGCTATGGGGAATACATTTCCCCCTAACATTTAAAAAATGGAAAAGTCATCATTTTGAAATGACATATACACAATTCAAAGCATTTTAGATGAAATATTTTACATGGCTGGAGGAGAGAAATGGACTAGCAGTCCAAAGGCCTATAATTTTGTATAATTAATACAGAAAGCCACATCTTTGGGAGCATTTGGATCTTCTGGTTTATCTGTCTGCTACAAAAGCAACTTTAAGATAAAAATGAGAATAAAATTATTATGCTAATAAAATCTCAGTAGGGTTGGTAGATGCTGAGATTCTAAGTAATCAGTAGTCTAAAGAATGTGTCTTTAAGATTGTGGGGAGTAACCCGGACTAGACTAAGTTACTGGAATTAAGACTTATTCTATGCATCTGCTCTCCCACAATATGGCGCTGAGAAGGGAGAAACAGCTTCTACACAGCTGCCTCCAGTTCAACCAATAAACTGTAGGACCTACTCCTGATTGGAGGAGAGCAGCGTACTCGGCGTGTGGGTAGCAGAGTTGGGATTGGTGGAAGAGGACTATAAAGGAGGAGAGAGACAACATGCACCAGGAACATCTATCCGAATAACACCTGTGCAGCCCCCGAGAGAGCCGGCCGGCGGTGTGCCGCTCCCCTGCGGAAGTGGGGAAAGTGGCTAGGGGGAACCGCCCTTCCACGGAGGTGGAAGGGTTGGTAGCCAACCCAGGAAGAACCAGCAGCAAACCCGGGGAGGGCCGAGCAGACGAAAGAACAGCACAGGGTCCTGTGTCGTTCCTCCACGAAGACGGGGAGCGACATAATGGTGCCGTGACTCGGATAGCAAACTTAGGAGGGAAGAAACGGGAAGAAGTGGGAAAATACTGGAGAGGGAGACTAGCAAAGAGCCTAGGGAAAAGCCGGACGGAAAAGGTGCCGGAAGAAGCTATTGAAAGCCTAGGCATAGACTCGGATACGGACTACGGGGGGAAGCTGGGAGAAATCTCTAAGGTCGAAAGCGAAAGTGAAAGCTAGAACAAACAGATTTGGATACGGACTGTGGGGAGAAGCCAGGAGAAATGAGAGGGGAATATTGTTGGAAGAAAACTTAGGGAAACATACCGGGTAGAGAAAAATGTTAGGGAAATTGAAGCTGCGGGGGCAGGCCGAGGTGGAAACGTAAGCTATGTTGGAATTCTTCAAGTCAGCCCGGGGAACAAAAGGAGAAAAGCTAAAACTAGAGGTGGACACGTAAGCCAGGTTGGAATCCGTCAGATTAGCCCGGGGAGCAAAAGACGGGAAGCCAAACCGTGAGGCGGAAGCGTGGGCTAGGTTGAATTCGCCAGGTTAGCCCGGGGAACTTGGATTGAATGCTAGTGGCGGAAACGTGAGCTGTGCTGTGTGACTCGTGGAAGCCGCCGCGTGCAGAGAGAGCACGGGGCGTGAATAAATAGGGAACGTGGGGCTAGTGCGAGGCCGTGGTGCGGGCGCGCGAAGCCGGGAAGCCGTGCAGATGAGAGAAGCGCGGGCTGAAGAGGCTCAGAGCCGGGAAGCCGCCGAGAAGCAGCCTCGGGGCGGGCGCCGGGAAGCCGCAGGGATAAGAGAAACAGAAGTTTAGAAGTAAAATGAGAGAAATAGGAATGCTGGTAGATAGAAGTAAAATAGGAGAGATAGGAATGCCCGGAGATAGAGAAATAGAGAAAAATAAGGCCTCCCCACAACATGGCAATGAGAGAGCTTGGATTCGGTCTGCCTGATTAGGGAGGTGGTGAGCACCTGCGGGCGGCTAGCAGCTTATGCGCTGCAGGTCACCGAAGACAGGCACAAATTAACATCAATAAGTCTCCCCACAATACGGCAATGAGAAGGCTTGGATTCGGTCTGCCTGATTGATAGGGCTTGTAAGCACCTGCAGGCAGTTCTAGCAGAGCAGAGCATGCGCTGCAGGGCACTGAACACAGGCACGCATCAGTGCCTAAAAACCTCCTCACAACATGGCGAAGAGAGGACCCAGATTCGGTTTGCCTGATTGGTAGGGCTTGTAAGCACCTGTGGGCAACTCCAGTAAGCAGAGCAGAGTGTTTGCCGCGGGGCACCGAAGACAGGCGCGTATCAACGCCAAAAAATAAAAAGAAAGGGGGATCTGTGGGGAGCAACCCGGACTAGACTAAGTTACTGGAATTAAGACTTATTCTATGCATCTGCTCTCCCACAATATGGCGCTGAGAAGGGAGAAACAGCTTCTACACAGCTGCCTCCAGTTCAACCAATAAACTGTAGGACCTACTCCTGATTGGAGGAGAGCAGCGTACTCGGCGTGTGGGTAGCAGAGTTGGGATTGGTGGAAGAGGACTATAAAGGAGGAGAGAGACAACATGCACCAGGAACATCTAAGGGGAACATCTATCTGAAGGAACACCTGTGCAGCCCCCGAGAGAGCCGGCCGGCGGGTGTGCCGCTCCCCCGCGGAAGTGGGGAAAGTGGCTAGGGGGAACCGCCCTTCCACGGAGGTGGAAGGGTCGGTAGCCAACCCGGGAAGAACCAGCAGCAAACCCGGGGAGGGCCGAGCAGACGAAAGAACAGCGCAGGGTCCTGTGTCGTTCCTCCACGAAGACGGGGAGCGACAAAGATGTCGAATTACAGTGGTTCTAGAAGTACAAAATGTATTACAATTACAGAAAAAAATTCTCCCAGTCGTGTTTCTCTGAATATCTTGTCACTGTGCTTGTAGGACATTAAAGAAAATATATAACATTTTGTGCATTGAACTGAAGGTTTCTCATTTTGGAGAGACAATGCTATTGGGGTACTCTGGAATACCAATGGCACTTTAACCTAGTGAATTATATAAACACTTAGCTATGCTCCGTTAGAAACGAAACGGCGTAGTTAGCGTCCCCGATTTACACAGCATTTAGAGATGTATAAATGAGACCGTCTTTCCACAGATCTCAGGGGAAGGAGTTGAGGCAGGATACGGCCCCAACCCAGTGCCAGATGAGGCACTGATGACCACGCTTAGCTCTCAGACTTCGTCAACGAGCAGTGCTCACAGTGGGAGCAAAGGGCCAGGCGATTTCTGTGTAATTTTTGCATTTCTATAAGTAGACAAAACATAATAGTTTAGCAGATAGAGAAAAGGAAAGAAGGAGGTGCTATGGGAAAAGAGAAGGAACTGGAAGAACCACAGTGTTCTCTTTAAAGCCCTCTGGAACCAGCCACTCAGAGCCGCAGGGCCTCCAGGCAACAGTGATCCATCTGACCAAATGCATCCAACTGTTGACTGACACATTTCTCAGGAGCAAATTAACTTTTTAAAAGTGAATATAGGGGCTGGCGCTGTGGCACAGCGGGTTGACGCCCTGGCCTGAAGTGCCAGCATCCCATATGGGCGCCAGTTCGAGACCGGCTGCTCCTCTTCCAATCCAGCTCTCTGCTATGACCTGGGAAAGCAGTGGAAGATGGCCCAAGTGCTTGGGCCCCTGCACCCACATGGGAGACCTGGAGGAAACTCTTGACTTCTGGCTTTGGATTGGCACAGCTCCGGCTGTTGCGGCCAATTGGGGAGTGAACCAGCGGATGGAAGAACTCTCTCTCTCTCTCTGCCTCTCCTCTCTCTCTCTTGTAACTCTTTCAAATAAATAAATAAAATCTTTTTAAAAAAAGTGAATATAAAAATGCTATTTGGTTTCTAGAAGTGTTCCTTTATTGATTAGGTACCTTCCGAACATGTGAGAAACAACTTGCAATTTCCATAACAGAAAATCTAGAATAAGTAAGATAGTTTCTGTTCACACCCATCCCCCCAAAATCTAAGTGATGATAAAGGCCTATTCTTTAGCTCTGTAAAATTCAATCATAAACAAGAAACATACTATGTTCTTTGTGCCTCTATATCAGAGTTTTTCAAACTAGTATACACCTAGAAAACAAAATAAAAGTGCAGATTCCAAAACTCCACACTCAGAAGTCCTGGGTAGGCCTCAAGAGTTTGCCTTTTAAACATAAGCTAGAGGAGACTCTCATGCAAGAGATCTGGGTTTGCACTTGGAAGAAACACGGCCCTCAGGTAAATCCTTCTTTTCCATTTTAGTTTAAGTCACAGCAAATTGCTTGAACAGGCTCCTTCAGGCTAGTTGTGAAAAGCAAGTGGACGACCACACAACTTTGCCAGAGAGAAATGATCAAAACACAGCGGGGAGACCTCACCTTCCAACAGGGAGCTGCTCAGAATGAAAGCTAAACTGTGCCCCCGGAGAATCTGTTACCCTGGCCACGTCCCACGCACTGCTCAGTTTGATCAGTGGTTCCTTTGGGGTTATTGTAGGTATGAGGAAGCCCACCTACAGGTTTTCCGGATTTTTACCTCTTTTGGTGATAGTATGGAAATGTAGTCTTCATATATCATCCTGGCCTTTTCTTCTATTACTTTTTTATCTTGCTCTTTCTTTAAGTCTTCACAGGCAAGCCAGAAGAGCAGGTTCTCCTCACTGTATTCTGTGCGGAGGAACTCTCTGAAGAGGTTTCTTCCTGCCGGGGCCTTCATCAGCTTGTCAAAATTCTGAGACCAGGACAAGACCTCATCTGCGGCGGGGTTTTGGCTGCAAAGAAACAATGAGCTCATTATCACCAGCAACTTGGACCTAAGAACACTAGGCCAGGCGAGTAGTGAGGAGTACCTAGAAATGCTACGCAGCTACTGCCATCTGGTGGTCAGGATTTGTCACCCAGTCTGGTCTGCTCTGATAAAATACCTGCTCAAACTGGGTTAGTTATTTCTGGATCTTGACAAAAATTCCTGTAGGCATAAGCCCTGTGTAAGAGAGACATGCGTTCAGCTAGCAGGGAGCTGTACACAATACGCACACGATCGTCATAAATTCCAGGTGAGGCTTGGAAGCACTCAAACTTTAACAATCCGTTGCAAATTGACAGAACCAGTCTGCAAGTTACTGTGAAGGACAAATTCAAGTTTTTCCTGGCCTCTGATATGGGTTTCAATTTCCCAGCCATACATTTACTTAATATTTTCATCTCTGGGAGCCATTTCTCATTTGTCACTGGACCTAAAAGGAACAATTCATTGTGTGTATTTATCACATATTTTCCTAAAAACTAAGAGTTTTTCTACAAAAAGTTATGAACTCTGAAAGTTATTATTGTTGGCAAGGCAGGGGGCTTTTACAATGAAACTGGGGATTTTTAAAACATCTGAATGCCGATTTTCGGGGACTGCTATACTGCAGAAACCAATGGAGATTACTCCATTTTCTTTCATTCAAAGAAGTGGAAGAGAGGAACTTGCAAATTCTTATGACAAAAAAGATTATGATCTTTCTTCCCCATTCATTGGTCTACTTAATAAAAATCTCCATCTAAAATGCATTGTTCAAAGAAGTTCTTAGACTCATCCTTACCTTTTGGACCAGGTATCTTTCATAGATTTGTTAGTATTCCATAATGTCTGGACTTTTTCAGTCACTTAACTTCTAATTTTAAAAAGCTGAAAAATTACTATGAAGCATCTTTAGAATTTTTATTTGTTGACAGAGAAAGATAAATTTAGTCAATGCTTTAGCCAAGTAACACAGCCAAGAGATACACTGATGAAAAGCAACTGCCATCACAAAATGAGATTCCCCACACTTAGTTTGCCTTCATTTCATCAGACTACTTTGAGGAGTACTGTAAAGCAAGAGAGGCTACTTAGGCACTCAGCACACAGCACAGAAGCACAAGATACAATCATGGTTTGCATGTGACACTCACCACTCTTCTAGGACCTGGATGCTTTCCATTTTTGTGGTATGTGTGGGTCTTCCTGCATTTTCTCCTCTTTCTTCATTCCTAACGGTGAGGCTGTAAGGTAGCATAACACTTTATTTTGTCAAGGGAAATTCAAGTCATTAAGGAAAAGAATAAAACTTTCAAGAAAGACATTTTACCGGAGATGTCATTTTCAACTCTGTAAGGATATTTAAAGGACAAACGAGCATTGTCATTTTTGCTAGGATTTATTTTATTTACTTGAAAGACAGAGTTAGAGAGACAGAGAGAGGTCTTCCATCCGCTGGTTCACTCTCCAAATGTTTACTCCTAACAACCAGAGCTGAGCTCATCTGAAGCCAGGAGCTTCTTCTTGGTCTCACACGCAGATGCAGGGATCCAAGGACTTGGACCATCTTCTATTGCTTTCGCAGGCCATAGCAGAGAGCTGGATCAGAAGAGGCGCAGCCAGAACTAGAACCTGCGCCCACATGGGATGCTGGTACTGCAGGCAGGAGCTTTAACCTGCTGTGCCACAGCACCAGCCCTGCATTATCATTTTTAAATGATAGGTAAGGCCATGTTGACTAAAGAAAATAGAATATTTTAAAATAATATAATAAAAGCAAATCAGAATCTCAAAAATGGAATCATTATAAATTCTGACCTCATCCTTACATAATCTGAATTACTTAAAAATCTCTGAGATACATGATTATATGTCTTAATTTTTGATATGTATCATTATTTTACTCTTTAAATGGAAAATCATTTTGACTCTGGGTTAGTTCCATTCAGTTTGTTTTCCATTTATCCTCCTCATTGATAGCTAAGAAGATCAAAGATATCAGAATCTGACACAGATCATCCTTCTCCACAGACCAGAATCACTGTCCCAGATTCTGTCCTTCCTCCAACCACTAAGGTTCTAGCTGCTGGGCTTGTACCTGACTTTGTCATTGGTTTTTCACCCCGTTAGTCAATCTCCAATGTCTTGAGAACTGGAGGTTCAGACTGGGAGAGAGCTGGATGGGAGCGTGTCTGACTGTGGGACACACGTCAAGAATTCTACAGGATTAGAGAACTTAGGACAATCTCACGGCTGTTAGCAATGTGGAAGAATAGGAATGGTCTGGTGCAGGTAAAATGAGGCTGAGCAGCACCTTAAGGTGCAATACTCAGGTTCTAGGCATGGAGCAGACACAATAAGGAAGTCATGGGGAAATACTAAGAAGGAAGGTGGAGAGGATGGCTCAGCAGCCTTGGAAAATGTGTGCTCTTGTAGGAAACTGACACCTCTGTCTAGAAGAAAATGACCTTCATGGCAGTTTGTCAGGCAGCACAAGAAGTTCAGAGAGTATTTCACTCTTCACTCTCTCTTTATTATTATTATTATTATTTTATTTTTTTGACAGGCAGAGTGGACAGTGAGAGAGAGAGACAGAGAGAAAGGTCTTCCTTTGCCGTTGGTTCACCCTCCAATGGCCGCTGTGGCCGGTGCACTGTGGTCAGCGCACTGCGCTGATCTGATGGCAGGAGCCAGGTGCTTCTCCTGGTCTCCCATGGGGTGCAGGGCCCAAGTACTTGGGCCCTCCTCCACTGCACTCCCGGGCCACAGCAGAGAGCTGGCCTGGAAGAGGGGCAACCGGGACAGAATCCAGCACCCCGACCAGGACTAGAACCTGGTGTGCCGGCACCACAAGGCGGAGAATTAGCCTAGTGAGCCGCAGCGCCGGCCTCACTCTTTCTTTTACTTACTCTTTTAGAGGCAGTGGAAACTGCTCTTTTTTAGTGGCTATTATGAGCCAGGTATCACTCACAAAGCACTCATGTTATTATCTCCATGTTATAGACGAACACAGTGAAGGGCAGAGCTGCCTGGTAGGCTGCTCCAAAACGGAACACTACATATGTGATATTGTTGGAGTTTGAACCCTACTCTGTTGACACACACTGTATTTTTATTGAATACCTACTACAGGCACTGAGGCAATATATCCTCTGTGTGAGTGCAAAAAGAGTCCCTGAATATGGGTATGAAAAGAAGATATTTACGGACAGAAGTGTCCAACAAGTAGTTAATCCTGTTGTATGGTAAGAGTAACAGAGATAATGTCTCACTCATTCATTCTCTCCTTTTCAGGTGCAAGGGTATGGATGGAGAGTGTGGCAAAGAGAAGAATTTAAGGAAGAGGAGCCTGACGTGCAGCTGAAAGGGAGACTAGATAGAAAAGTGCACTGGAGAATGTGGACTAATTGGACAAAAGAGAGCCCAACAGGAAGTGGGAAGGATATTTGAACCAGCAAAACAACACCAGAAAGAAGAAATTAATTTAACAACAAAATAAAGTAAGTTCTCCTGAAATCATTTCTAGGGGTCCTGGCAAGTTTACTGGTGTGGAACCACACACGAGAAGCCTCCGCTTCCTGATCCTGCTCCCTGCTAATGCCTGGGAAGGCAGCGGATAATGGCCCAAGGACTACGGACCCAACCAGCCACAGGAGAGGCCCGGATGGCGTTCCAGGCTCTGCTTCAGCTTGGCCTAACATGGCCATTGCAGCCATCTGGGAGAGCGAACAACTGGGTCTAAGATCTTTCTCTCTTTGTCTCTCCCTCTCTATCACTCTTCCTAATAAATATATACATAAATAAATAAGAAATAAGACAAAGGCCTCCAATGGGAGGTGGCCGGGCAGAAGGATTCGGAGCAGCAGTGCTGTTTAGGTTTCTACGTGTGAGTTCTGGGAATATGCTTGCAGTTCCATTGAGTCTATTAACTTGAGTCAGGTAAGTGTTTTAGAGGAGATTCATTAATTTCCCAAAGTATCTTTAAGTAGGACTGGTTCCCTGGAATTTGATGTCTTTCCCGTAATTCTGGGATAGTGCGTGGGAGGAATACATTACTGACAAGATATATGAACATACAAAATATGCTCTTATTTTTTGTAACTTCTATTTAATAAATATAAATTTCCAAAGTACAACTTTTGGATTATAGTGGCTTTTTCCAACCCCATAACCTCCCTCCCATCCGCAACCATCCCCTCTACCTCTCCCTCTCCCCTTCCATTCACATCAAGATTCATTTTCAATTATCTTTATATACAGAAGATCAATTTAGTATATACTAAGTAAAGATTTCAACAGTTTGCACCCACACAGGCACACAAAGTATAAAGTACTGCTTGAGTACTAGTTATACTATAATTCACATAGTACAACACATTAAGGACAGAGATCCTACATGGGGAGTAAGTGCACAGTGACTCCTGTTGTTGATTTAACAATTGACACTCTTATTTATGACGTCAGTAATCACTCGAGGCTCTTGTCATGAGCTGCCAAGGCTATGGAAGCCTCTTGAGTTTGTCAACTCTGATGTTATTTAGACAAGGCCATGGTCAAAGTGGAAGTTCTCTCCTCCCTTCAGAGAAAGGTACTTCCTTCTTTGATGGCCCGTTCTTTCCACTGGGATCTCACTCACAGAGATCTTTCATTTAGGGTTGTTTTCTATTTTCTTTATTGCCACAGTGTCTTGGCTTTCCATGCCTGAAATACTCTCATGGAATATGTTCTTATTTAAATAGGCAATTAATACTCATTCTGCCAAGCATTATTGAACTTTCATGTGTGTTGTGTACATACATTTCAAAGAACTTAAAGACTTGTAAAATATCATAATATCCCAGAGTGTCGATCTCTGATTCCCATACAGTGTCCCACACAAAATAGGGCACATCCTTCATACAACATCTCTGAAAAGTTTGTTCTCCATTATGCCTTTGCTGTGGAGTGAAAAATCTGGAATCCACACAGATGAGTCACAACTTTCTTAACACGAATTCTGGCTTTCCTGTCTGTCTCTGTGATATTTACAAACATCCCAAATGCTACCATATTAGAGTGATCATGATGAAGGACTAAACTGTGTTTGTATCTGCCATTCGCACAGATGCTAAAACACGGACACAGAGTTGGTCTTAGAGCTATGCATGACAGTCATTCACTAAACTCTAACTATTCACTGTTTGTACCATCTCTTACTAAGTACTAATTGAGACATAATCTTGCCTTATAGAAAGACACTGAATTTTAGCCTGATCAAGTTGTCCTTTTAATAAACTTTCCTTTAAGTACTAATCTTAGAAAATGGATTTCAAGGTTTCAATCATCAAACATCACTGAGAAATGCCATTTTAAGATGAAGAGAAATGGAGAAAAGAAACAAAGAATTGATACTGGACTGTGTGCCTACCCTGATCTGAATCTCTGTTTCCTTTTTCAGTCATTCTAGGCCTATGTAATATAATTTCTTGGAAGGTAATAAATTACTGGAGATATTTGTTTTTTTTTTTAAGATTTTATTTATTTATTTGATAGGTAGAGTTACAGACAGAGGGAGAGACAGAGAGAAAGGTCTTCCTTCCATTGGTTCACCCCCAAAATGGCCACAACAGCTGGAGCTGTGCCGATTCGAAGGCAGGAGCCAGGTGCTTCTTCCAGGTCTCCCATGCGGATGCAGGAGCCCAAGGACTTGGGCCATCCTCCACTGCCTCCCAGGCCACAACAGAGAGCTGGATTGGAAGAGGAGCGGCCGGGACTAGAACTGGCGCTGCAGGCAGAGGATTAACCTACTGCACCATGGCGCCGGCCCCAAGGCGATATTTGTTTATTTTTTTTAAAGATTTATTTTATTTGAAAGGCAGAGTTACAGAGAAGCAGAGAGAGAGAGAAAGAGAGAGAGAGAGAGAGAGAATGTTTTCCATCCACTAGATACTCCCCAGATGGCCGCAACGGCCAGTGCTGGTCCGAAGCCAGGAGCCAGAAGCGTCTTCTGGGTCTCTCACACAGGTGCAGGGGCCCAAAGACTAGGGCTATCTTCCACTGCTTTTCCCACTATAGTAGAGTGCTGGATAGGAAGTGGAGCAGCTGGGACTTGAACCGGTGACCATACAGGATGCTGATGTTGCAGGTGGCAACTTTACCCACCACGCCACAGCACCGGCCCCATGGAAATATTTGTTCTAGATCAACACATACATGCCCTATGTGCTTGAAAAATCTCTAAAACACCAAATTTAGTTGTGTGGGG